TGAGGACATTGCCCTGATAAGAAGGAATTTAATGGATTCTATAATAGTTTAACTAGTGCTAAAATCAACCTTCCTGCCATCTAGTTTAGTTTTATAATCCGGTTTTACATTTTGACTGGGCTCTTAGTATGTACGTGCTTTCAAAACACTGGATCTCTAGGTGCCCGTGTTGCTCTCCTCATTTTAATTTCTAATTTCATAACCTACCTGGTTTAGAAGGGCCAAAATCATAAAATGGATTGCAGCTCACCTGCATGCCTCTCACTTGGACTCCCTTTTTGCCAGTGTCTAAGTCACTTGCAGGAACTTGGCATGCTACCATTGGCAGGACATCCTAAATACTGATTGCCCAGTCAGACAAAATTGACCGAGCACCTGTCACTGTGTTTCATAGAATCCAACTCTTCCTGGCCCCTGGCTTGTGCTGCCTCCTGACACCTGTACAGTTAGTTATGTCTCCGTGTGTGGGGGCCTCCTATGGGCACTTAGCCCATTTTATGTTGGTATGAATCTACTGAAGTCCATTTCTATTCTACAGATCTAAGGATAATTTGACATACATTCTTATTTCTCAAAGCTTGATCTTCTGCTGAGAAATTTGTTCCAATAAAAAAGGTCTTCTTGTTTATTATTACATGTTTGAATATATTAATAAATGGAACACAGAGAGAACAATATAGAGTAGTAATATAAGTGATATAAAGCTTGATAGTGCTTTTAAAATTTTGTTTGACAAATTTTATCTTGGCCAAAATATCTTATAATAAAAGTATATCAACTTGTCTTCCTACTGCAGCATAACATGGTATTTAAAATAAAGCTATTTAGACTAAATTATTTTAAAATAGGAAAATATTAGATATGTACCTAACCCAATATAGAAAATAATTAAAAATCTGGGAAACTTCTCTTTGTTATATATTAGCTATTCTTCTGTGGCTGCTGGTCTGGAGGTATTTGAGTATACATGATATACACTGGGATATTAAAATCCTCACAGTTCAGTACTACTAGATTTATCAATTTTGTTTTATCGGAGACCTGCATAAACTGAAATGGAGAGAGGTTGACCTTCTCAGCATAAAATTATTAAGCATTTAAACCAAAAGCTCAAAATTTATCAAGGACTATATATGTGATTCATGTGTTTTCATCAATAAGTGTTGAGCAGATAATAGATATCTACTCTAGTCCATAGAAAACTGTTAAACTTCTGTTCTTAGTGGTCATCTAATTATGGCCTTGTTGAATCTACTTCTGGAACTTAACAAAGTCACGAAAAGATGATAGACCTTCCAAAACAATGCAATCATTTAAATTCTTGCAAGAATTCTTTTCTTAAAGGTCCTGAAAGAATTCTTTATAACAAATTATTATTATTATTCTCACTGCACAAGGATTATAGAAATGCAGAGAAGATAACTAACTTTTCCAGGATTTCACAGCTATCAAGTGGTGGTACCTACAGCCATTCCTTTGTTGAGTTCCTGTAAAAGATAAACCTTTCATTAGAGGCTGTTTTGGAATATTGGGATCCCTTAGCTTTACCTACCTTTATCTCCTTTTTTTCCTTTTCTAACTTCCCAGCATACATAGTAGAATAAATATTTAAACTCATGATGGCCATATATTCCTTCCATAAGGCATTTTCCAAGAAAGGCTGTGAAGAAAGTTTGAAATGCTATGCCAACCCACGAGAACATTGGGATCCATGTTATTTTTTGTAGTGGGAAAGAGATAGTATGGTGAGATGGAAATTAATATACTATGTTATTCTAATTAGTTCTTTTTAGTTCATATATTCCAATAAAATAGAAATCAATAGCTAAGATATTTTTAAACAAGTCCAAATCTGTTCTTCAGAAATGGTAGTGACTTTCAATTTGCCCTCTAGTATGGTAAAATAAATTATTCTTCATGTAATGAAGAGACATTTGAACTTTACAATGTGTCCTTGTTTTCCATCCCTCTACAATAGGAAGGTAAATATTAAAGATTTAAATATATATAACTAAATTTTCCTTAACAGACAAGCAATCAAAATTAAAAGTATGATAATACTGTTACTACACGTGACTGGATGCACTGATTATGCTGACCAGTATCTTTTATCTAGGTTTAGTAATTTTCAACCAAATTAAGTTAAAGTGATAGAAGAAGGTATATGAACAAAATAGACACAACAGGATGGGTGTATCCAAGATTCTACTCAAGAAATTTAGGAGTACTTTGCTCTCATGCATAACATCACTCAAGTTATCAGTGTCTGCAAGAAGTGGAAGCCCTTCTTTTGCTTGTCAGAAAAGGCTGCCGCATCAAGGGCAGATGACTTTTAGGGAGATTGAATTGACTGTCCTTCATTTGCTATCTGAGGAGTTGTTTTGGAAGGTGTACCGTCATTCAATGGTAAAATTTGGCAAAATTCCAAAAGAATAGGTAAAGTCAATCAGGCCACCATCAGATGACCACTAATAATAGCAGTGTATGAATTTTCTCCTTTAATATAAATCCTATACAGATAGTAAATAATTAGGGAGAATGTATTTTGGGCATTCTCTGGTTTATTTAGTATTAGCAAATGAGGACATTTTGAATTACCAGACCTAATGGACTATATTTTGAGAAACAAAGCCAAACCATGTGAGGGCTGGAGATGTGGCTCAGTGTATGTTCTTACCTACCACATGCAAAGCTCTGGGTCCCATCTCCATCACTGAAAAAAAAAATATGAATAAGTAAACAACAAGGAAACACATACTAAGTATAAATCAAAAGCTTTATACTTTTAAGTAGATACATGTAAATTATCACAGAGAGATTAGTAAGCTAAAAATGAAATAATGTTTGGTGAAGATAATGCAATCATTCTCTGTGGAAAGATTTCCAATTCTTTAAAGAGTTAATCATACAAACATATTCTTTATGACTACATGTTAATTTATAACTCATTTTAAAATATTTTAACAAATTCTATTGCAGCAATTTTTTTACAATAATTATGTTCATGAATACTGTTGATAATAAAAGTACTTAAAACACTTTTATCCTGTAAACAGAAGGGGAGGTCCTATACCTTAAGGTAATCAAATCCAGTGATGGTGGAGTTTTTTGGGGTTGGACTTATCAAATTCACAAAGAAAACTCCTAGAACTAATGGTATTAGGTTACCTTTGAATTCTCTCCCCAACTTTGAATGGTCACTAATTCCTTTCTTTGCTCTTTTGGGTTTTGCAAAAGGGTTTACTAAAGCCTGAATTGATATAATTATTGGCTCAGATTGTTAGAGATCTAGGCCAGATGGCTACGGGGTTCTAAAGTCCCAGTTACTTTTCCTAGTTTGTCTATAGGGTTTGGGGATCACCAATTTGAAAGGGCTACAAACTTATAAAACAGTATTATTCATGGGGGCAGAATGTTCATCGGCGTGACCCACCACTAAATGCATTCATTATAGGCATTTCTATTCTGCACAATTTGCCACACAGCACTGGTTGCAGGAGGAGGAAAGACAATAGCTTATAAAATGCTTTTGAATGCCTAAAAAGAAGGAGAGTTCACACTGAGACTCCTCTGCTTTCTTTCTTGGAAAGAACCATCCTAGTGACTTCAGCTGAGCTCTGCTGAGAGTAAGCAAAGTGGAAAAATCAGAAAATTACTTTTTAAAATATGCTCCTGGGGGGGGGCAAGATAGAGTGGGAGAGAATAAATGGGAAAAAGAGACAGTGATATGTGAAACAGCGAATATGCAAGTGGGGGAAGACAGCTGAAGAATAATGCAAAAGGTGTGTGTGTGTGTGGGGGGGGAAGCAACAAGAACGGAGCCACAACGATAAACTTAAAAGGAACTGCAGAGCAGAGAAAACATCATAAATAATCATATTTTCAAATAAGAATACCATATCAGTTTCTGTGACCTGGATAGAGCACAGCCCTCCCACTGTATTCCCAGCATTTTGATGTGCGCAAAATGCAATTTTCAGCTTAGGCGTTTTATTTGTCAATGTAAACAAGCTTTGGGTTTTTAAAATACATATCTGAAAAATGTTTTCATACATAATGCATATATTATAAAAATTTGACTTGTAAACTATTGAGTCCATGTTCTCCCCTATTCACTGGGAAGGCGCGCTGTGTATAGAGAGTACCTTGCTGGTCGAACCTGGCATGCTGAAGTGTGCAGTGTGGTTCGACCAAGATAAACAGGATTTTTTGAAGTATAAGACAAAGACATATCACAAGCAATTTTGTCCAAACTCAGAGAAAGGAGTGATTATGAGGTAGAATTACATTGCTAATTAGTCCCAAATTCTGAGGTGTTCCTTTAAATCTGGCTAATTAACAGGAATCAAGAGTGCAAGATAGTCCTTTTCTTATCTTCAAAGAATAAAGATGAAAGAAAACAGAAAATGAATCCTCTTTACTTGTTCTGCTCGGTGAAACAGAGTCCTAAGAAAATCTGCTTCTGCTCCTAGGAAGAGAAAGACCCAAGTATTTACCGAGGGGGAGGGGATGGAGGCGGTCCTCGAGGCAGAATTAGAAGCAAGTTTTCAAATTTTATTAAATTCTTCCAGCAACAAAACGCGCTGAGAGGTATTTTTAAGTTAAACCAGCACTTAAGGACTATGGAAGAAAGCAAGATGATTACATGTTTGTGGCAGAAGAAAAGGACAATTAAGAAAACAAGAACAATTTAAAGTGGCGTATACATAAAGGGGACCAGAAGTTGATTTAAAGTTTTTCTTCTGTAATTTGTCTCCCCTTTGTCGTGGCACTCAGAGAAAGTGAATGCAGAAGACTGAAAGGAGGAGGGAGAGAGCGAGCAGCGGCAAGGCAGAGCTCCCACCTCCTCCCCGACCCCTCCTTCCCCTCCCCCGCTCCCCCTCACTTCCCCCGCCCCTCCTGCTCCGTCTCCCCTTCGCTCCCTCCTCTCGCGCCCTCCCTCCTGCGATGACTCCAGCAGCTTTTGATTTGGAAGCGCGCTGATTGGCTGGAAGCGATTCAACACACGCCGGGCAAGAGCTTTGTCTGAGTTGAAGTGAAGTTGTACAGATTTTAGACTGGAGTCAGCAATCACGGGTGTTTAGTCTGCAGCCGAGCAGAGAAAGGGAGAAAGAACCGCTCCGGAAAGGCACGCTGCAGACTCCGGCTCTCTGCCACCGACGGATTCCGAGGAGAACGGGGACCTCGCGGAGGTGACAGTGGCTGCCTGGCAGGAGGACAGCGGCCAAACAAATGCAAGGATTGGACTCCAGGCCGATAGCGGGAAGCCGAGACACGGTGTGTATGAAACAAAAGTTTGCGAGCTATTAATTGCTGGGCTGTGTTAAGAGACGCTTTCAAGTTTGAAGTACCAAATGTCGCTTAGCTTTAAGTTGCCAAAGGAACTTGCGGGAATTGCTTTGCTGTTTTAACTTGCTCTGTGAGGGGAGTCTCAGAGATCGGCCAATGCACCCAATGAATACTAAAATGCACTTTAGATTTGTTTTTGCACTCCTAATAGCATCTTTCAACCACGATGTACTGGGCAAGAATTTGAAATACAGGATTTATGAGGAACAGAGGGTTGGCTCAGTAATTGCCAGACTATCAGAGGATGTGGCTGATGTTTTATTGAAGCTACCTAATCCTTCGGCCGTTCGTTTTCGAGCAATGCAAAGGGGAAATTCTCTACTTGTGGTGAATGAGAATAACGGGGAAATCAGCATAGGGGCTACAATCGACCGTGAGCAACTGTGCCAGAAAAACTTGAACTGTTCCATAGAGTTTGATGTGATCACTCTACCCACAGAACATCTGCAGCTTTTCCATATTGAAGTGGAAGTGCTCGATATTAATGACAATTCTCCCCAGTTTTCAAGATCTCTCATACCCATCGAGATATCTGAGAGTGCAGCAGTTGGGACGCGTATTCCTCTGGACAGTGCATTTGATCCAGATGTTGGGGAAAATTCCCTCCACACGTATTCCCTCTCTGCCAATGATTTTTTTAATATCGAGGTTCGGACCAGGACAGATGGAGCCAAGTATGCGGAACTTATAGTAGTCAGAGAGTTGGACCGGGAGCTGAAGTCAAGCTATGAGCTTCAGCTCACTGCCTCCGACATGGGAGTGCCTCAGAGGTCTGGCTCGTCCATACTGAAAATAAGCATTTCGGACTCCAATGATAACAGCCCTGCTTTTGAGCAGCAGTCTTATATAATACAACTCTTAGAAAACTCTCCCGTTGGCACTTTGCTCTTGGATCTGAATGCCACTGATCCAGATGAGGGCGCTAATGGGAAAATTGTATATTCTTTCAGCAGTCATGTGTCTCCTAAAATTATAGAGACTTTTAAAATTGATTCAGAAAGAGGCCATTTGACCCTGTTCAAGCAAGTGGATTATGAAATCACCAAGTCATATGAGATTGATGTCCAAGCTCAAGATTTGGGGCCGAATTCAATCCCAGCTCATTGCAAAATTATAATTAATGTTGTGGATGTTAATGACAATAAACCTGAAATTAACATAAACCTCATGTCCCCTGGAAAAGAAGAAATATCTTATATTTTTGAAGGGGACCCTATTGATACATTTGTTGCATTGGTCAGGGTACAGGACAAAGATTCCGGGTTGAATGGAGAAATAGTTTGCAAGCTTCATGGACATGGTCACTTTAAACTGCAGCAGACCTATGAAAACAATTATTTAATCTTGACCAATGCTACACTGGATAGAGAAAAGAGATCTGAATACAGCTTGACTGTCATCGCTGAGGACAAGGGGACACCCAGTCTCTCTTCAGTAAAACATTTTACTGTTCAAATCAATGATATTAATGACAATCCACCCCGCTTCCAGAGAAGCCGGTATGAGTTTGTGATCTCGGAGAATAACTCTCCCGGGGCGTACATCACCACTGTGACAGCCACAGATCCTGATCTTGGAGAAAATGGGCAAGTGACATACACCATTTTGGAGACTTTTATCCTGGAAAGTTCCATCACTACATATGTAACCATCGACCCATCTAATGGAGCCATCTATGCCCTCAGAATCTTTGACTATGAGGAAGTGAATCAGATCACTTTTGTGGTAGAAGCAAGAGATGGAGGGAGTCCAAAGCAGCTTGTAAGCAACACCACAGTTGTGCTTACCATCATTGATGAAAACGACAATGTTCCTGTGGTCATAGGGCCTGTGCTGCACAATAATACTGCAGAAATCTCCATCCCCAAAGGGGCTGAAAGTGGTTTTCATGTCACAAGAATAAGGGCAATTGACAGAGACTCTGGGGTAAATGCTGAGCTCAGCTGCTCCATAGTAGCGGGTAATGAAGAAAATATCTTCCTAATCGACCCACGGTCATGTGACATCCATACCAACGTGAGCATGGACTCAGTCCCCTACACAGAATGGGAGCTCTCAGTCCTCATCCAGGACAAAGGCAATCCTCAGCTGCATACCAAAGTCCTCCTGAAGTGCATGGTCTTTGAATATGCAGAATCTGTGACAAGTACAGCAATGACTTTAGTAAGCCAGGCATCCTTGGATGTCTCCATGATTATAATTATTTCCTTGGGAGCAATTTGTGCAGTGCTGTTGGTTATTATGGTGCTATTTGCAACTAGATACAACCGGGAAAAGAAAGATACAAGATCCTACAACTGCAGGGTAGCCGAGTCAACTTACCAGCACCACCCAAAGAGACCATCCAGGCAGATCCACAAAGGGGACATCACATTGGTGCCCACCATCAATGGCACTCTGCCCATCAGATCTCATCACAGATCATCCCCGTCTTCCTCTCCGACTTTAGAAAGAGGGCAGATGGGCAGCCGCCAGAGTCACAACAGTCACCAGTCTCTCAACAGTTTGGTGACGATCTCATCAAACCATGTGCCAGAGAATTTCTCATTAGAACTCACCCACGCCACTCCTGCTGTTGAGGTAAGATCATGACCTGCATGAATTCATTGGCAATATCTATTGTATGTATTGGTTCCTGACTGTTACTATTAGTAAGTACAATATGAAAATTAAATAAGATTTGGGTTACAGGCATATGTGTAGCAAGCCTGCACGCCTTCGCAGCACAGTTCCCATGTTTTCTTGCATAATTTGCTTGCAGGTAATATGCATTGCATTGAAAAACAACTGTGGTGCCCTGAAGGAGATAATTTGAGTCCCTTCAGTTCCCAAATTCAGATCCTGGAAATCCCAGATGTAAAGGGACTTATTCTCATTGTTTTGGTCTCTGCTAAAAGGTAAACACTGAGGCCTCCAGATTCTCATCTGAATACATGTTCTTTTTATACAACTTTGGAAAATTGTCTGACATTATTTTAAGTTGATGTGTTACAATGAATTTTATGACATCTCCTATATATTTTTATAACATGCTTTGTCTGTATAAAAGAAATCAATTAGATTATTTAAAAGATAATCTTCTTTTAAAATGAAAAAATAGTTGTATTATCATCCATATCTCCCAGGATGTATTTCAGGTGCATCTGGTGACTGACTGTATAGCCTGCCACAACCCAGCCTATGCAAGTCTTTAAAAGGGATGTAATGTATTCTATTAGTATAAAATACCAAGGAACTTTTCTTCCATGCTCAGCATATGGGAGTACTTGGGGGTGTGTCTACAGGAATCAGTTCTGTCTGTTTGGTTTTCAGCAGGTCTCCCAGCTGCTTTCAATGCTTCACCAGGGGCAATATCAGCCAAGGCCAAGTTTTCGAGGAAACAAATATTCCAGGAGCTATAGGTATGAATTATCCTTGTGTTACCCATTTAGTCTCAGATAAATGCTGAAGAGTAAAAACCATATTTTCCCTGATCGATCTTTCTAGATATGCCCTTCAAGATATGGACAAATTTAGCTTGAAAGACAGTGGCCGTGGGGACAGTGAAGCAGGAGACAGTGATTATGATTTGGGGCGAGATTCTCCGATAGATAGACTGCTGGGTGAAGGATTCAGTGACCTGTTTCTCACAGATGGAAGAATTCCAGCAGGTAAGAGGACAATGATAGTAAATCTTTATGCTCAGATCTGCTACAATTCTAGTAAATTGAACAATTTTGCCCAAGCTTCTATTTCTTTTACATTTGTCCTTTGAACTAAAGATTTATAGTCTGCACACTATTACTAGTGAATGCAAAGGTGAAATATTGTAAAATTATTCACTTAAAATGCATAGCAAGTAGTTGATAGAGATGGAGCTAGTATGAAAGGAGGGGATAGAAAAGCAGACAGATTTCTGCCTCTTTCTACCCCATCCAGTACTGCCACAGCACACTCTTGAGCAACTCTATAAAATTACTGGGTGGATATTCTTATTCTGGCAGCCTGTTTTGGTGAGGAGTGGTGAAATGGACTATAATTTGGAGGGTGCATTTCCTGTGATGGGAACCAACTCACAAAGTCAGAGACTGAAATACATGAGAAAGGGTGCATTTTAAGCACTAAAAATAAGAGAAAGAATGCATCTTGTAGGTGGTGAGGATGGAATATTTCTTCCCACCATTCACTTTAACATCTGTACGGTAATAGAAGAGAGACAGCCATCCCAGAGGGGGATTTCTAAGCACACAGCTGAATGAAGGAGATTCTATTAAGTTTTGAACCACATTTTCCTAAGTATCCCTTTCCTCTAATTGTGCAGCAGAAACTTGCTGAACCAACTGAGTAAATACTGACTGTGTCACTATAGCAACTCTGTTACTAAGGATTGTAATTTTGAATCAACCCTTAGGACTGTAGAAGTGTTCCTTTGACAAACTATGGATCAAATGTCTGCCGTCTGATAAATGAAAAAAAGACAGAACAACATTGCATTGCCCATTTTAGCTTTGTCTTAACATCTATTTTCCAAATATAGCTGATAAGAGAGTACAGAAAATAAATATGATGGAGCTACAGAAATTCACAAAAATCAATAAATAGAAATTCTAGCTCTCTTGAGTTACAGTGGTCATAGTGGCAGCAGCCGCAGCAGAGGAGGAGTCAGCAGTTATGACCCAGGGCTTGCTCTGGGTCAGGTCTAAGTCCTCTAGGTCCAAGTGCAGTTCCTTTGTTCCAGCCATCCTCCATTTCTCTCTTGCTCTGTCCTCCCTCCTCCACTCCCTGCTGCCTTTCCCCATCTCTTCCTCCCTCTTTCTTTCATTTCCTTCTCTTCTTTCTTCTGTGTGGTACTGTGGGCAGAACCCAGGGCCTGACTGATTCTATGTAAGAGCTGTAACCACTGGGCTACGCCTCTAGATTCCCACAGAATCCTTTTATCTACATTGCTTGGCCCAAGTCTCTGATGTGCAAGTTACTTGTAATGGTGATAGTTAACAATAGTGTTCGCATTTTTCTTTCCAGATTTGAAAACTGAAGCTTATTAAGGTTAGAAAATGCATCCCAGGTCAGGCAGTTTGTACATGGTAGAAGTGAGATTCGAACCAATCTCCATACTCTTAAACACTAATCTATGAAATACAAGGAGTAACAGGTGTTTCTTTTTTAATTATGTAGTTGTCTTATATTTTCTTACATAACATTCTAAAGACTTATTAGCCTCTAGAATGCTTTGACCCCTTCTTAATTCTAATATCATATAATTCTAATAGGTTATTATGAATCTGTTTTCTTATTTTATGTTTTTAAAATTATTTACTATTTATTTACTCAGCTTTGGAACTGAGGTTTGAACCCAGAGCCTCATGCATACTAAGCATACACTGTACCACCCCACTACACCTCCAAGCAAGAGAATTATCTAGTACTTACTCCACATAACAGTCATAATAATAAATGTTAGAAGTGATGACATTGTGTAAACAACACATAGACAAAGATAAACTGTGGAAAAGAAAAAGTCTTGTGTACTGAATGACTTTCTGTTCCATCCATGTTACATTTCTTTCAAAAGTTAAGGGCTTACTTTTATATTAACATTCACAACCCCATTAACATGTAGATAAACTTTTAAAAATAACTTCATATTTACCCAATTATGCTTAATCCAAAGACGTGGGAGAAAAGTTACTTTTCTGGTATGAAACCTTGTATTACAACTGTTTATACTATAGCAGATTCATTTCTGCCCCACTAGCTACCTGCTTCCTCACGGTACTTAGCTGTAAGCATAGAGCACCCAGCAAATCACTAGTTGTCCAGACAGTATATTCATATTGGGGTGGCATAGACTGCCATGTGTGTACTGATTATCAATAGAGAGATAAAGATTCCTTAACTGTGAGTATCATTCTGATGACTGCTTACTAACATTATAGTTTGAAATTTATCCTGGCAACATCCACCTTAATGTATAAAATATGTCCTTTGTAAACGTATAGTTCTAGGACATTTCCTAAGTAGAAAAATATGTAAGTCCACATCTGAATGCCATTAGCAGAGTTCAGGACAGTTTTCTCTAAAGCATGTTTATTTTAGAATGTAAGCATCATATTTCAAGTTTTTCTAGTGTTAGTCTAAGAACAAATATAGATGATGTGGTGTTCTTTCCTTGCCAATAAGGGTCATTTCTGGTCATTCATTCCTTTCATTCCCACATAAACACACTACGTACTGAGCAATAGAATTAGTATGCAGCTTTGTCTGTTGACTCATGTTTGTCAACTGCTCTCTCTCTTACTTGTCCAGCATTGAACAATAACGTGAACCATTTTGCCTCCAAAATCACCTCTATTTAATTTGCGGCATCAAGGATGATTTATAAAGGCTTTTGATTTTGCTTTTTGTCATACTCCTTCTTCACTGATCCTATTCCACTTTTCATCATCTGCCTCCCATCAGTATTTACTTCAAACATACTTTTTAATTTCTAGGTTCTCTCTGTTCTCGTGGCAGGTGCCCTAGCTCTGTCCTGGCCTTTCTTCCATGGATGGTTGATTTACCACTGCCTAAGCTGATAGCCAGTAGTTCGTCCCACTGTCAAATCTTTACTTCGTACAGCTTGAATAACCTTCTGTGAACATTTTAATTTACATATTTTGGCTTAAAATCAATGCTTAACTTGTTGCTCAGCAACAGAGAACAAAGGTATTTATTTTGGTACTCAAAGGCCAGCAAAATCCACTCCTAGCTTAGTAAGCCTCAGTTTTGCCATTTTTGGGTCTTTGCAACACCTACAGGCATCACTTCCCAAATGCTGTTCATTTCTCAATTGCTGTAAATGCTGTTCATCTCTCAAACTTTATTTCATGCTGCTCCTTCTTGAATGACATCAGCCTTTACCTTCACTTATTTATCTTCTCTTGACATTCCTTGGCATCATCTAGGTTGGCCCTTTAACTGGGCATAAAAATGTCATTTGCTATACTTGGCTCAGAAGTAGATCATAACCCTTTTGAGCATGCGGTGGTATCAGTATTTCTGTTATGACACGCCCTTAATAGAGAGCTGACTGATTACCCCACGACTAATGACTTAATAGAAGCTAATCATGAATTTTTCTTCTTATATTTCATGTTCTACTTCCTGCCTCACCTTTAAGGTGTAGTACGGTGATAAAATTCATGGTCCTGTGGTGGTAAAGAATCCTTGCAGAGGAACCTTAGCCGCCCCCAGAGCTTTTAAAGAGTAACAGAAAAATTTGCTGCTTGCCAACAACTCCTGTTCCCTGGGGTGTGGGATGCAACATTTGTGGTGCTGAATTATGTATGCACCAAGATTGTTTTCAAACAGTTGGATCTCCAGGGAAAAGACTGAGAGTATCAATGAAACTGCAGGAGATGCTCTCTTCTGTACCACTCTCCTCTCTCTCCATTGTTTTGCTTTCTCCCCTTTAGTCTTTCTTTATCTCTTTTTCCATATTTTCTTATTATATTTCATTTAAATTTAGTTGTTTTAGAACTAAAGCCATACTTACTTATTGTGGTGAAGTCGTAAATAGCATTCACTGTTTAGAAATAATTCCTATGATTGAAATTATTGCTGAGCATGAACTGTCACATTGGATCAATCACCCAGATTGTGTTGCTATGTTTATTGAGGGTTATATGTTCATTATATTCAGGTATTTGGTGAGCTTAATCATATTGAGAATTCTCAGAACCTTGTATAAATCTCTCAACCACTACCATTGTCATGAAGCATTAAAAAAAAACTTGTAGCCAATCAAATAAACAAGTACACAATAAAGTTTTTCCTAAGTCTAAACTAGTTAAAGGGCAGAAAATCAAATGAGGAAGTGTCAGGAGGTCTTTTCCCCTTCCTTCTGATAGGATGTGAGTAAGACAAAATGTTTAGGTCCCCTGTTCATTTTCAAAGACCCAAAGAATTAAAGAAAAAAATCATTAACACTATGATAGTTCCTTCACTGTAGAGAAAACCTCATTTTTATTTGAGGTATCCCAGTTGCTTTTAACTCCTTTTGAAATTGTCTACATCATGTGGTGAAAAATGGCAGCTGGTAAATATTTCTAAGTAGTAATAATGCATGAAGTCAAGACATTTAATCCTGCTTTTATTCTTAAATCAGCCTTGCTTTTTAAAATTTAATCTTTATAGCAAATTACACAGTGATTCTCTGTGTTCATTCTTTTTCCACCTTGACTCACATGCTGTTGGTATTCACATTTTTCTCTGCATTTTCCCACACTTCTTTTGTGTTTGTAGCTTTCCCAGCAATGCAGCTTTGTTTTTCTCACATCCCTTGTTCTCATTTTTTGTTCCTTCAATTTCTCTCTTTCCCATTAAAAACTGAGGACCAGAGGGATTTAAGAATAGAATTATCTTGCAGGTTCCAGCTGTAAAGTGCTATGATTTCTACACCTTGAAACAAACACCATCATTTTTCCCCTTCTGAAATGCAGCTGTTCTTTCTTCAATTTTCATTCAAAAACTACAAGCAAATCCCTCTTCTATGCAGATACTTTACCAGGTGGAAGCATATCACAGTGAGACTAGTAGGGAGCAGTACCTTAGAGTCAGCCTCTTAGCAATAATTTAGGAGGAAGAGAAATTGTTCTTAAAGAGCCAAATCTGCAAATTTACTTCTCAGTGTATAATATGGCTAGTGTCAGTCCAATTCCCTTTCAAAACTGAGAAAATAACTTTGCAATTTCTGCAATTCTGTTCTTTCTTCTAAAGTGAAATCATGGCACTGAAAAGTCTGAGTTTTTCTAGAAATAAATCATTTGTGGAATATATTTTACATCTTTGCATTTCTTGGCTTTCATGCAGTGTAGTAACTGTATTTGCCATTAATGAGGTTTTTTTTTCCTTTTTATTTTCTGCTTTTCTCATGTCTTTTATTTTCTATGAATGTGGCCACTCACATTCCAACAGGATATCAGGACATCTGGGAGAACCAAATAATGGATTTTTCATATTATTCAGTTCTTGATGACTTTCCCATGTATTTCAGTATTAATGAATTTCAAGTTTGTAGAAAAGACTTAATGATATATGACTGGAGATGTTCAAGAGTTAACAAGACTTTCCACAACTATTGAAAGTAATGTCAATAAATAACTTATAAAACTTTTATGAGAGATTAAAAAATCGTAATTACTTGACAGCTAATTATATTTCCAGTGTCTCCATTAAAGCAAGATAGGTAGAATTCCATGTTGAGAAAACTATGAAAGGTACTAAAGGTTAATTGGTGCCATTCCCAACTGTTTCATTTTAAAATTCTATTTTTTGGAGTTTAAATTTTTTATTTTATTAGCTCTTTTCATGCATAAATTATCAATCCATTTTCTCCATATGTGACTAGAAGAATATTCCCAAGAAACACTCACTTACTAAGCTCCTCTATTCTTTATTCAGTAAACAAGAAAAACAGTACAGCTGCAGATCTGGCTTATGGAGGTCCGTAAATCTAGTATTCAAATTAAAACCATGCTTGTGGCCCATCTAATGTGTCTCGTAACAGGGCAGCATCCTGCTAATAGCTTAAACTGGTCTCATTCTATTTATTTATTTAGTTTTTATTTTAAAGAGAATTTTTAAAAAAGAACAATGGCAAAATGCCAACAACATAGACAAAAACAACACAGCAAAAACAATAAGAATGAGACAGGGTTTCAGAACAAAATGATAGGGAGTATCAATGGTTGTTATATTACATATTTTTATAGTCCTCAGAGTTGGTCAGATCACCAGATGTAAGAATGCGAGAGTAATCAAACCACTGAACAGAATAAAATATAAAAACAGAAAAATAATAAATGATACAGAGGTTCACCAAACAAGATAGTAGGAATCCAACAATGGTTGTTACGTTGCATATTGCCGTCTTCAAATTAGTCATTCAGATCAGCTAGTCTCATTCTATTTAATAAAAGCAAAATTATGTTTCCCCATAGTTTTGAGTCCTGCTAAGTATAATAACGAATCCTCATTGCTTCCCCGGAGCGCAGCTATGAGGCTGTGCACGGAAGAGTGCAGAGTCCTGGGACACTCTGACCAGTGCTGGATGCCACCGCTGCACTCACCCTCCTCCGATTATAGGAGCAACATGTTCATTCCAGGGGAAGAATTCCCAGCCCAACCTCAGCAGCAGCATCCGCATCCGAATCTTGAGGATGACAGCCAGCACGCGGAAACTGGGGAGAAGAAGAAGAGTTTTTCCACCTTTGGGAAGGACTTGCCAAGTGAGGAGGACACAGGAGACACCAGCACGTCCTCCCTGCTCTCCGAAATGAGCAGCGTCTTCCAGCGCCTCTTACCCGCTTCCCTGGACACGTATTCTGAGTGCAGTGAGGTGGATCGGTCCAACTCTCTGGAGCGCCGGAAGCCACCGGTGCCAGCTAAAACTGCGGGGTACCCACAAGGGGTGGCAGCTTGGGCGGCCAGTACACACTTTCAGAACCCCACCACCAACTCGGGGGCTCCACTTGGAACTCACTCCAGCGTGCAGCCTTCTTCAAAGTGGCTGCCAGCCATGGAGGAGATCCCTGAAAACTACGAAGAAGATGATTTTGACAATGTGCTCAACCACCTTAATGACGGGAAGCATGAACTCATGGATGCCAGCGAGCTCGTGGCTGAGATTAACAAACTCCTCCAAGACGTTCGCCAGAGCTAAGAAATTTCTGCAAAGTGTTTTTGTTTCCATGTGTGGAAATAGGGGACAGGAAAAACCCTGAAAGAACTGGCTCTGCCAAATAGTTGCATTTATCATAAATGTGTCTGTGTATATTGAATATTAAATACTGTATTTTCGTATGTACACAATGCAAGTGTGATTATTTTAATCTGTATTTTAAAAATACATTTGTACCTTATATTTATGTGTAATTTAACGAACAAATTTTATTTTTTTACTCCCATGACAAACATTTCTCTCCTGTTCATGTAGAAATTAGCCATTGTTTAGATCTGACATGTATTCAACCACAAAGATAAAGGTACTGCTTCGATTAGTTAAATTGCGGTAGAATAACTATGCTTTGCAAACAACCCCACTAATGCATTATACAAATCTTAGTTGCATTAAGTGACCCAAGTTACTTTGCAATACTTTAAAAAATTAAGCATAATTTAACATATTAAGCTTTGTTTTAATTATTATTTTTGCTATATTCTGCTAGCTCCAATAGCTCACCTCTAACAGCAAAATTAAAGAATGGAGTGACATTCTAGTTTAGGATTGGGAAGAATCTCCATGAATATGTGTGAGATGATTTTCTGAAATGAATTTTTCCCAATGATATAAACAGATGAAGTCAATGTTTTTTTGACTCCCAGGGCCCTTCTATTGCAGGTATCACACTGGTCTGATCTTGAGAATATTTCTTCTACAGTATTGTAGTCTACTTACATTAGAGGAAACAATGAATTTCCTTCCAACCTTGTAATATGTGATGTGATTCAAGGAAATGAAATCTGTCCTTTGAATGGATAGCAGTGTGTATTCAAATAGTGTGAAGTGTTACTGCACAGTTATGCCAGTGTCCCTCCTAGGGTAGTAAATATAATTGCTTTCTTTTGAAACCATTCTGTTTGAATCTTTTCCTCTCTTTTCATAATACTTGAACATTTTTATCTTTTACATTATTTTTATTTTGCTGCAACTATTCACTTTTAGCTTTTGTCTCCAGTGCATGATCTTATATCTTTGCTTGCATTTTAGAACATTTATAACACCACATTTTTTAATTACAATTTTGTATTATTTCTTGTGTGACAAATGAGAATTTATTTATTGTGCTGTTATCTCTCTGTGTGGAATGCCTTGGTGAGAGAGGTCCTTATTATGGCTATTATCATTTATGATCAAGCTTCTATTAATGTTATTTCTATTGATACTCTATCTTGATTGTACTCTCCAGAAAATTTTGCTGTCATGAAAATAAAAGGAAAATTAAAGTAAAATGAAATCACTGTCTATAAGTCAAAATCCTGTTTTTAAATATGTGTTCAAAAGCCTGGCAAGCACCATTCCCTTCCTGAGAGGTTAATTCAGTGTTGGGTTTCATATGATAGAGAGGGAACGTCCAACTGGCTGAGAAGTACTGTGGAAAAGAAATGAATTTAAAACTTGTCATGAAATGAAAAGTTTCATTCCAAAACTTGGAATGAAAGTAGTTGATGATATCCCAACTGGATTAAATAATCTTAAGTGCATTTGGAGGGTAAAAGAAAAAAAAGAGCAAGCAATAATAACTGCCTAAATGTTTTTCAAATTGCACAGAATACTTTTTCAGAACATTTTGTATTAAATTGTGCAGGAGAAAAAAGGTATCCTTCAAATCTTTCCAAAAGGCTAAAATATTATCCTCCTTGGTTTAAAAGGAGGGAATTAAAGTCCTAGAAAAGTCAAGTACCCTAAAATCGGCTAAAACTAAGGTATCTGAATTCTCAAATGAATACCACATTAAATAGGATATCTTCTCGCTTTGAAAAGGCACTTTTGCTTTCACAGAAAAGATCAAAATTACAAGTGAAATTTCACTTTACTTTTTGTAGGTCACACACACAAATGTTAATCACATACATTTTGCGTCTGTACTTCACTTCCTTTCAGTACATATTATCATGGAGGAAAAGATTTTCATAACTTCGCTGTTCTTAATTATTCTTTAATCCTAAACAACAATTAAGGAAGTGAAACTGGAAGTAGATATATTGAATCATGTGAAATAAGTAAAATGGAATAATGAATTCAGCATAGCATCTTTAGTTAGTGACCCTACACAGAGCATTCCCTGACTCCATCTACCTGCTTCTCCTGCCTTCTGCATTTGCTATGAATTCCCATAGCCACAGTTTATGGGAACTTTAGTACATTGTTTTAGCATTCACTCGTGTTCTTCCACTGGTAATGTTTTGGTGAAAGCTGGGACATCTGGTGCTACAAGAGAGATTGAGTACATCATTACATTTATATCTCTTCTTTTTGATAGCACACCTCTCTGCAGATTGAAACCAAGAAGAAAAAAAGGAATTAAGATTATTTTCTCCACTCATTATTCTTTAATCTCTTTGGCTCCATTGGATATTTTCAAATATTCTTTAATGATAATCATCTATTAAAAGGAACAGTTTTTTGAAAATGTAACAACACTATGTCTGTTGCTCAACAAATCCTCTTTCAAATGCTTGTTAATAGAATGTTTAGAATTAGGTCTCTTCAAAGTCTTTCTCAGTACCAGTGTTATTTCTCATTCATTTCTTTCTTAGTATTCAGCAGATACAGTTTAAACTTTGTTATTCATTTAAATTCCTCTAGTTTCATACATGTCAAACTCATCCTTTCTGTCAGATAACGAGGAAGGAAAACGATTGGTGAGATATTATCTCACTGGAATCACTGATTCAGTCACATTCATGAAAACCAGTTCAGTTTCCTTGTTTCAGGCCTTTAGTACCACTTTCAGAATATATTCAAAACTGAATTGAAATTATTGACACATTAAAGTTCAAGGCTCTCAGAAAAGCAAGAAAATTCATATCAAGTTAGTTGCATGAGTAAAAAATGCATTGTGTGAATGGAAATTTTAAATCTTTCCTGATCTCATCCAACTAATCCAATGGTGCTCACTTTTGTTTCATGTTATTTACTTTTGCATGTAATAAATTTGTTTACCTTTCCTTCGACATTATTGAAAATATTTTGATATTTCTTTTGTAGTTCAGTATATGTTGACAAAGTATCATTACAGTATCAAAGAATGAAGAGAGTGAGCTCTGAATAAGCAAGAAATGTTTCTGTATGAGATTTAAGCTCCATGAAAATCTTAAAAGACTTATTTCAAGTTTTAAAAAGAATTTGAAAAATGTGGCTAAGTAAAAATATAGTATATTTGAATTCCTGAGGTTAAATCCACACAACAAAACTTTATGTTCATAGCCATATTGTGAAAGTATAAGATACCAAGTCATTATCATTTATAATATACTAGGACTTCTCAATGACTAATAGAGTAATTGCATATGCTTATGTAAATAGATGTTTTAATTTGATTAATTAGGCTGTTCATGTCACTGGAGAATCATCTGTTTCAGTTACATTCTTAGAATAATCACATTCACTTTTTCTGAAATAACTAAATGATATCTTGAGCACTACACCACAATTGAAAAAAATTTATCGCTGAAATTGTGGCTTCACTCTTCATCTTTGGAATTAGGGCCATCGTCAGGTATAAACACTCTTCATAAGTAACAGGGACTAACGTAATCTCAGCCAAAAATGTCACATAGATACGTTCTATAATAGATGTGGAAAGGGAAGTGATATTCCTTATTAATTTATTATATTTTCATTACATACTGGCTTATACAACTTGAGCAGCAGTTAAATTTTATGAGGAGCTGGCATCACAATAATTGCTACCAAAATTTACATACTTTCTGACTTTAAAATTGCAATAACATATCCTACTCTGGCACTTTAAAATAATAGTTTCCTATCTCCTTTTATGACTTCTGCAAGACGCTCTTAATTCTTGTTTGCTTTCTCAGATTTTATCTCCTCAATTTATTTATTTAATGGCACTCCTCCGGATAATTCATCCTACTGTTCCCATTTATAGCAACCCTCTCCAAATTTTCACATGTATAAAGTTCCTCACATAATCACCTAGATTTTATCAATGTTTCCACTGACTTTTATTTGTTATTGATATAACAACGAACATGGTTTTTGATACATAAAAAGTTAATCCATTTCATTCTCAATAAACTTTGCCTTTCTGATTCACTAATGTGAAGGAAAATTCACACAATTAAGGACAGAACACTGACTTTTTGCTTTGCTCTAAATTAAATGTTTTGAGAGGTTAAGAAAATACTAGCAAAGAAAACAGCTTATTGAGAGAGGAAATCTTTTTTCTTTTTTTGAAATGCAAAACATTTCCTTTTATGTAATAAAGGTCAAACTGGAGAGGGTAAGCTTAGAATTTTGTTCTAAATTGAAGTGCAGGAAGAAAATTAAATACTTTCTCTACACTATGGGAAAAAGGTAACTAGTTGTCAGGAGCATACAGTCCTAGAGGTGAATGAATTGAGGAGGGTAAAATATCGGATATCAGTGGCTTTACTCCTTTTGCCAATGATCTGTAGAAGACAACACAGCAACAGACTTTGGCCCAGGCTCCTTCTTCTGACCCTGGTGGTCCAGGAGAGCAGGCATGGAAGGGCATAGTGTCTAGGTACATTCACCTTAATGGACACTTCAGCTTCTTTATGCTTTTGGGTGGTGATGGACTAGGCTTAAATGGGGATGAGCTTGATTGTATAAACCCTGTGACATTTCAAAGTGCTTTTACCTAATTTAAGTCAGCCTTCCTAAAAGTCCACGTACTTTCTTGCTTTATTAGAAAGCACACTCTATAGCTTAAAGTAGCTAACCACAAAATTTTCTGGACAGAAAGAGAGTAGTCCTTCCCTTAGGAAATAACCCTCTGTTGGACAATGTTCAGGTTCTAAATGATATGCACAACTTGTAGTAAATGGGGTTGCATGTGATCAAATAAATCCAAAATATATCACTGGGAGTATTTTATGAATTCTAATTAAAAAATAGGTTTCTGCAGCCCCTGCCTAGCAGTTTGGACTTCTCCTTCAAACTTGTGCCTGGAGGCAGTCATTGTGGTTGCTGTCACCTGTCTATAGAGACTTCCAGGGACTGTCAGAAAGGTTAGTGGCACATACACAAGAGAGCCACCTGGCAGTAAGCAAAGTGTCAGTATGGGAAAGGGCTACAGCAGACCAACCTCCAGGTACACCGAGTGCTCCTCTGCCTTTTTCCCACCTCTGTGACTTCTCTTTCTCTCTGGGTGATGCCTGTATAGAGAGCTAGCACGGAGACATTGCAATGAATAGCCACAGGACAGAGACATGTCCAGAGGCCCTCCTGTACTTACTAATATATTCCCAAGACTCCCAACAGTCCCTAGTCTCTTAGAGATGCTCTGAAATAATTGTTGAATAGAATATGACCAGATGCTTCTTCTGGAAACTTTATACTACTGAGAGAGAAATGCTGAAAAACAACCTGCAATATTATCATTAAAAACTGTGTTCTTATTCAAGCAGACTTAAATATTAAACCTCAGGGAACAAGAAAACAGGGATTGACAGTATTGAATGTTTTCTGCCAATAGCGGGAATTGGAAATCAAGAAAAACTGGGATCTGTCAAGAGGACATGCCTATGTCTTGCCAACTTTCTTTAGTTTCCTTTATATATTTTGAATATTTTGCCTTTCCTTGGGAATGCATTATTTTCCTAGATCAGGCAGAGCAGTCAAGGTTTCGAAAGTGATGTCCCAGGCCCAACCTTCTCAGGAAGAGTGTACACGTAATATGTGAACAATGTAGTCCCACATTTGTACTGCAATATTAGTAATGGGCAAAACACCCTATTCACCTCACAGAATGATTGTGAGTCCAGTGGAAGAACAAAAAATGATATTTTTATGTAAGAAGCAGAGCATGAAGAATTTTAACAGTGAACAATGTGTTTTGTTGAGACATTTTTTTTCTACCAAGTGCTCATCAGCATAGGTACAGTGTGGAGAATTCAACAGGATTCTTGCCAGTCTAAGATCTTACTGAATATATTAAAAGGAAAAACATAATTTTATATAAAGAGATCATAAATGGTCCATACTGGTTTTAGTTGGGGTCTCTCCCTGTTGCCAAAAATAAACTCAAGGTAAATAACTTTCCCAATACAGAAGAAACTTTCCACATAACAGCCAGTCTTGAGTGAAGATAAAAATCCTCGGGAAACTACCCTGTTTTTGAGATCATTTGGGCATCAAATATCTCACGGTGATGGTGCCATCATTAACAAATCATTGGGAGGCATCTTTATTCCAGCTGTACACAAGGGAAATGCTGGTGTAGTACTATTAGAAAGTCTCTAGAGTGCAGGCTT